GGCTCCGGCCATTACAGCAACTTGGGGAGTGAACCTGCGGATGAAAGATCTTCCTCTCTGTCTTTATATCTGACTTTCCAAGAAAAATAAATAATTCTTTTTAAAAAAAGACTTTGAATTCTTAAGGGGGCACTAGTGTACTATGAAAATAGACTTGTAAATGTTTAGAATAACACATAATAATTGCTAAATTGAAGTGATATAAAACACAATTGAATCATCATGACCAACATGTAAAAATCAAAACTATAAAATTCTTAGAGGGAAGTACAAGAATAAGTTTTTGTGATCTTGGGATAAACAATGATAAACTATAGTTAAGTTAGACTCCCTCAAACCTAAAAACTTTTGTACTTTAAAAGACATCAACAAAAAAGATAACTCAAAGACTAGGAGACAATATTTTCAGGTCATATAACTGATAGGAGATTGGTATACAAGATGTATTTTTAAAATTTAAACATTTACTTATTTGGTTTTTTATAAGGCAGAGTTAGAAAGAGAGAAAGAGATATCTTCAATTGTCTGGTTCACTCCTCAAAAGGCCACAGCAGCTAGACCCGAGTGCCAGGAGCTCCTTCAGGGTCTCCCACGTGGGTGCAGGAGACCAGTGACTCTGGTCAGCCGTTGTTGTTGCACCCAGGCCATTAGCAAGATGCTGAGTTGAAGTGGAAACCATGGGACTCAAATGGCACCCATATGGGTTGCTGCCTCCACAGCAAATGTTCATTTGACACACCATGGTGCTGACCCCTAGAATGTATTTTTTTAAGCCCTTACAACTCAGTAAAATTTCTAAAAATAATACAACTCAGAAAATGGTGAAAATTTTGAATAGGTATTTTTCCAAAGTAGATAAACAAATGACTCTCAGGGAGTCCCTCTAGTGGGGACGGGGACTCAAGTTGGGACATCCACGCTGAGAATGATTTGGGATGCAGGGGATGCAGAGGCAAGATGAATCAGTGCACTTTATTGGATTTTTCTGAGGTAACTTACACCAATTTGCAGGGCAAGCAGGTAGATAAAAGTTACTAGTTAACTAAACAATAGCATACAAGCTACTCCAATGATTGATCACAAGGGATTTGGGGAACAATCACCAGGTCTCAGGCAACAGGATAAGTAAACATGAGTTACAGGATCCAATACCAGTAAACAAACAGATCTAACTAGAAAAGGAATCTAACAGAACTTTGTTTGTAATCAAATATGTCCATGCCACAATCACTAAAGGAAATGGAAGATGATAATGAAGAAGCCTCACACCTGTCCATGCACAGTTTGTCAACAAAGTGACCCAAAATCTCAGCAGGAAGTCTGCCTTCTGAAAAATTCTGTCTGTAGAGAAAGTTTGAGATTCAGGGTCCTTTGGACAATTGGTGGTCTGGTTCAGGGGAGCACTCTCCACAATTAATAGATCTTCCATAAATGACTAGAAAGCATATGAAATGGCTAGTAGTCAACACTATCAAACATCAAGGAAATACAAACCAAAGTCACAGAAAGTATTTCTTATCAAGATAGCTAAAATTACAAGGCAGAAAATGACAAGTGTTGGGCATGATGCAAATTGCTGGTAAGGTCCAGCCACTTTGAAAACTAATCTTTACCTTCTTCAAAGGTAAAAGATAAATCTCACTGTTGGAATATACTCTAAAAAATTGAAAACAGGTGTTCAAATAAAACCCTGAACATAAATGTTCATAATACACAGAACAGTCAAAAGACAGAAAAACCAATTGTTCATCAACTGATGAATGCTGAAATAAAATGTGACATATCCATTCAACGGAATATCATTTGGCCACAAAACTCAACAAATATTGCTACATATTCCAATATGGCTGGCCCTCAGAAACATTGCCTTAAGTAAAAAAAAAGGCAGTCACAAAAGAAAACTTGTGATTCCATTTATATGAAATGTCCAAAATAGATAGAGAGGAATAGAAAGTAGATTAAAATAGATTAATGTCAAGAGCTGCCAGTGATGTCAGGGAAATAGACGGTGCCTGATCATGACAAAAATGCTTTAAATTAGATTATCATGGTTGGAAAATGTTGTAAATACACTAAAAATGATCAAATTGTACAAATAGATCAAATTTACAAATGTGTACAATTAAATAGGTAAGTTATTTGCTACAAATTATATTTCAATAAAACAATTTTAAAAGTATAATTGAATCAGGACTGCCATGATGGAAAAGTGAGTTGATCTTCTACCTGTAGTGCCGGCATCCCATTGGGGTGTCAGTCCATGTCCTGGCTCCTCCACTTCCAACCCATCTTCCTGCTTATGACCCAGGAAAGCAGCAGCAAATGGTTCAAGTTCTTGAGCTGCTGCACCCATGTGGGAGTTCCAGAAAGAAGCTCCTGGCTCTTGGTTTTGAATGAGCTCAGCTTTAGTGGTTTGGGCCATTTGAGGAGTAAATCAGTGATAGACCTCTCTTTCCTCTCTGTAAAATCTGCTTTTCAAATAAAGAAATAAACCTTTAAAAAGGGGACAAAAGATTTTAGGTCAATCCTAGAATTCAATGGTTTCAAAGAGGGCACACGTTGGGCCTAGCATGGTAGCCTAGTGGTTAAAGCTCTCACCTTGCCTGCACCAAGATCCCGTATGGGTGCTGGTTCATGTCCCAGCTGCTCCACTGCATGTGGAGATCCCTGCTTCTGGCTTGGGAAAGCAGTAGGGGATAGCCCAGGGCCTTGGGAATTTGTACCTGCGTGAAAGACCCAGAAGAAGTTCCTGGCTTCAGATTGGCTCAGCTCTGGCCATTACAGCCACACAGGGAGTAAGCCTGAGGATGGAAGATCTGTTTTTCCTCTCAGTAGACCTGCCTTTACAATAAAAATCAATACATCTTAACAAAGAGGGCACATGTAAATGAAACTTGAGGGGAGGATAGACATCTTCCAGGGGTATATGAGAATACTGCAGCCAGAAGCAGCAGCAGTAGTAGGCACAAAGGCAGGGGTGCCCCTGAGCAGCAAGCACAGGGCTCTGTGCGCTGTGTGAGGAGTCAGCAATGCCGGTGCAATCCCACAGAAGCCGGGCTCAAGTCTGCATGGGCAGGAACCAGATGCAAGAGGCTACCAGTTGCACTGTCTTTTCACAGAGCAGGAAAACCACTGGGCAAAAACAAGGTTTGGGGCCCGGCGCGGTGGCGCAAGTGGTTAAAGGTCCTCGCCTTGCACGCCCGGGATCCCATATGGGCGCCGGTTCTAATCCCGGAAGCCCCGCTTCCCTTCCAGCTCCCTGCCCGTGGCCTGGGAAAGCAGTCGGGGAAGGCCCAAAGCTTTGGGACCCTGCACCCGCGTGGGAGACCCGGAAGAGGCTCCTGGCTTCGGGCCGGCATAGTATCGGCCCGTTGCGCTCACTTGGGGAGTGAATCATCGGATGGAAGATCTTCCTCTCTGTCTCTGTCTCTCCTCTCTGTATATCCGCCTTTCCAATGAAAAAATAATAAAAATAAATCTTTAAAAAAAAAAAAAACAAGGTTTGTCCTGTTAGAGATATCATTCTGGTCTGAGAATTGGAAGTTGATCTGGAACGAAGTAAAACTAGCTATTGCCCAGAGAAGAGAAAAATAACAAAAGGTCACTTTATGTTTATATAGCCCTAACTTTCCTTCGATCATCTCATGTTAAGTGTTCATGTTTGTATTTCCATGGCCTCCACTCTGTGCAGCCATGTGGCTTGTTCCCTCGCCCAGGTCTTCGGGAAAATATTCTCTCCCCATGGGGCAGATGTTGTGCAGTGACTTAAGCCACTGTCTGAGACATCCACAGCCCATACCCCAGTGTCTGAGGCTTACTTCCCATCCATCTTCTGACTGCTGTGCACTCTTGGAGTAACAAGAGTAAACGGATCAAGTTTTTTGGCTCCTGCCATCTCCACAGGAGACCCGGCTGGAGATCGTAGCTCCTGGTTTCAGCCTGGCTGCTCCCTGGCTAATGCAGGCATTTGGGAAGTGAACCAGCAGATGGAAGATATATCTCTCATTCTTGTTCTCCCTTTCACAAAAATAACATTTTTTAGAAAATCTGTAAGAAAAAAACCCTCATTCTTACAACACTAAGTGATTCCACCAGAGTTGTATTATCCTAGGCAAGTATTATCTTATGGGGTTGGGAAGGTGTTAGGGAATGGCAAGGGCGGGGAGGCAGGAAGGATTCGAATCACCTGATGAAGTGAGTGGAAAGATGCTGGCAAGGCCCCACGTGGGATGACTTTAGGTTCTAGATTTTGCCAATGGGTAAATAGTGATGCAATTCATGACGAAAAGAATGAAGAAGGACTCCTGGCTTGGGCAGAAGGATACACAGGAACATGGAATACACAGTCCTATTTCACCCTCTCCTTGGACTACTGAAAAATTGTTAACACAAAATGTGAAGTAAGCAAGCCCCAACTGACATCGTCATTTTCAGCCTGAAGCCTAGCAGAGGTGCGGATTGGAACGGACCAGGATAGGGGCGGGTTTTTCTTGTGGTTGCAGTTATTTTGCTTTATAAAGCCAGTGACGTTTTAATAGGGGAAAGCTCCCAAGGCATGTTGAAACTAACCCTGAGGTGACTTTTACAGGCAATTGGTAGCCGGGAAAATGTCCTCCGTGTATTTAGGACACATACACACGTCACCTGGACCTCCGGCACTCGGCTTCAAGAACCGACCATCCTCCGGGTGTCAGTAGGATTCGCCACGCAGCCGGTGATGGCAGGAGGGCGGCAAGGCATGCCTGCCGCCGGGCGCACACCTCGCGCCGCCGCCCTCGGAGCCGCGGCGGCTTCGAGAAGCTCGCGCCTCAAACGACCGCCCATGCCCCCACCCCCTTCCCGGCCTGGCCGGGAGCAAGGGGCGCTCGCTGCCGCCGCTCCTACCCACCGGCCGCCGACCTCCGGTCCACAGGTGGCGCTGTGGGCTCGCCGGGGCGGCCGCGGCACGCGGGAGCGTCGTCTGCCTGCTGCGCATGCTCGCCGCCGCTGAGGGCTCACTTTTTTTTTTTGTTTTTCCGGGCGGCCCCGGCGGCTGCGTACTGGTTGTGGGATGGGAAGTGAAGCCCCGGCGAGCGGCTGCGGCGGGGCGGTGAGCAGCAGCCGAGGGGCGGCGGCGGCGAGTCCGTGAGCGGCAGCTGCGAAGAGCGGAGCCCGGGCGGAGCACCTGCAGGCACGGGCGGCGGCCGCACCATGGCGATTCGCAAGAAGAGCACCAAGAGCCCCCCGGTCCTGAGCCATGAATTCATCGTGCAGAATCACGCGGACATCGTCTCGTGTGTGGCGATGGTCTTCCTGCTGGGGCTCATGTTCGAGGTGAGCGCAGCTCGGGGACCGCAGGGTCAGGGAGGTGCAGGACAAGGTGCAGGCCTGCCCTTGCTCGCCCGCCGAGCCCCCCGGCGCCCCCAGTGGTGTCCCCCGGCCCGCCCCCGCCGAGCCCCCTGGCTGCGGCCAGCTCTCCTGGGGGGTGCCAGGGAACGTGGGGGGCCCCCCAGCGTCGCCCCCCGGCTGCGGCCAGCTCTCCCGAGGGTGCCAGGAAACGTGGGCCCCCTCCCAGCCCCCCGGTTGCTGCCAGCTCCCCGGGGGTGTCGGGAAACGTGGGGGCGCCCCCGGTGTCGCCCCCCGCCCAGCCCCCCGGCTCCGGCCAGCTCCTCCGGGGGTGCAGGGGAGTGGGGGGGCCCCCACCGAGCCCCCCGGCCCGCCCCCGCCCGCCGGCCGCGCCGCGCAGTTCCTGGTTCCCGCGAAGGGTTACGTGGCAGCCGGCGAGGGGCCGGCGGGCGGGGGCGGCTCCTGCGTGCTGGCTCGGGCCGGGTGGGCGGGCTCCGGGGGTGCGAGGACGTGGCCCGGCGGACCCCCCACCCCACCCCATCCCCCGAGGTCGCCGCAGGCCCCGAGTGACGCCGGGGGGCTGCTGGGGAGAGGGAGGGACCCTGGTCAGACCCGGGCTGGAGGCGAGGCGGGCGTCTCGCTGCCTACTTGAAGGGCGGTGGCCGCTGGGCACCCTGAAAGCACGCTCGACTCGTGGCGTTCTGGTCCCTTCAACCGGTGCTGTTCCCGGACAGTTAGCGAACTTTGCGCCTCCCACCCCCGAGCAACCGGGGGCTGCTGGGTCGAAGGAGGTGCAGCGAGTCAAGCAAAGAAGTGATTCCGTTTCCCGAAGCAGCAGCCTGTCAGGAGTGTGTAAATTCTCTTCCCACATCTCCCATGTTTTGATGACTTCTTTAACAGCTGTTGAATGTGGGTAATAAACTTTGCAAGGTGAACCTGTAACCGCCTCCCTTCTCTCCCTCCTCACCCCCCATACATACAGCCATTCCTTTTCTTTTTTCACCTTTTTTATTTTTCCCTGCAGCCCTTGTGTCCTAACAGAGACTTTTTAACATATTTTTTTCGGTCTCCTTCCCGGCTTGTAGCCTTGGCAAAGATAGACAGTTACTCTTTTTTTTTTTTTCTTTTTTTAAGCAAATAATATTTCCAGTGCCTACCATAGTACCTGGACCATGTAGAATGTACTAAATAAATGAGTGGAGTGAAAAATCCTTAAAACAAATGTAACAAAACTGCTAGTGCCCAAAAGATGAATTTTTTTTTTAATGAACTCATTTTTTTTTAATGTTACAAGTGGGTAGTGTTTCACAGTATTTTCACTTCTCTTCAGTGGGGTTTTTCGGTGGCTAGATATAGATACTTTTTGTTCCTGTTAGTTTCCTATCTGTTACTGAAACCCCCGGCTGAAGAGGTGGCAGGTCCAGAGGGTCGAAGGGAAGGCAGAAGGAAGCATGTTGCCAGCTTCGCGTTAAGCCAGGTGATTGTGCTTCCCTCCCTGGTGATTCAAAGAATTTTCTGATTTGGGGATATTTGTATAGACTTCATCCATAATCCAAGGTCTAAAACGCTGTAAAATCCCAACCTTCTTGGGCATCGTGTCAGTGCTTCCAAGTTTACTATTTGGGCAGGAGTTTGCCCCCGCCTCTTCCTCGGAATGCTTGGGATCCAGGCTGCTCTGGCTCCTGACTCTCGGTTCTTGTAATGTGGACCCATGGGGGCTGCACTGATGGCTTGACAATTGCATTCTTGTCACCTGGGGGAGAGAATTGGCCCAAGTTTTCAGCTTCTGGCTTCAGCACCTCGCGGCCGGCCTTTAGGGAGTGAATCAGCAGAGAGGAGTGCTGGTGCTCGCCCTTTCTCTCTCTGCCTTCAAATGGAAAAAAAAAATGCAGGTTTCTGATTAAGGATATCCTCTTTTTCTTAAAAAAAAAAAAAAAAAGTTTGTTTTTATTTGAAAGGTAGAGTTACAGAGAAAAGAAGAGACAGGGTCAGAGATATTCCATCTGCTGGTTCATTCCCCAAATGACCGCAGTGGCTGGAGTTTAGCAAGCCAGGAACTTCTTTCAGGTCTCCCAAATGGGCTCAGGGTTCCAAGGATCTGAGCCATACTCCACTGCTTTTTTTTTTTGGGGGGGGGGGTTGCAAAATCAGAAGTGTAGCAGCCACGACATGAATTGCTGGTGTCCATATGGGATGCTGGCACCTCATGGGGAACCTTCATATACTCTGCTGCCACGCCTGCGCCAAGGATGCACGTGTGTTATCTTTTGTACTGGGCTTCTTACAGGCACTGCTGGCAAGAATCAGCAGTTCCAGTTTGAAGGTATCTGACAGTTTACACAGCAGTGTGACCTTAAAAGGCTAAACGTTTGTACATTTTCTGCATCTGACACTTATATACTTTCTGTTTTGAAACTAAAAAGTAATACTTATTTGTGTTTGCTGTACTTTCAGCAGTTTTGTGTAACTTGCCCTGACCCATCTCGCGTGGTAAGAATTCCTGACTTTAAAAAAAAGGAGGGAGCATACTCTTGCCTGCAAGGCGTATTTGCAATGCTTTCAGTGAGAGGTAATAGAAATCAGAAGTTCTGACACTCAGAAAGGGTAGAGTTTTCTTCTATGTAGCATTTACCATTCCTCTATCAGATTTCTAGGGAAGCTCACCACCTACAACCTCCTTTATGGGGTTAAAGATTTTTGTTTAACTGAATAGATTTTTTTTTTTGCCTTTCTGTAAATCTATAAAATTTGTGTATCTAGACACAATAAAAATGCGTACTAGAAGCTTTTAAAGTCAGTTCAGAGAGTAATGGTAAAGTAGTACAAGGAAGAAGGAAGTTTATACAGGTTCTTGAGTTTTAAGAGTCTAAAGTGTGTTATCTACCCTGGATTAGTTTTGCTATTTATAAAAAGTACAGCTGAATCTCAAAAGTCAACATAGGATTGCAGTATTTGTGCCAAAATAATAGTATAGTTAATGTCTGCAAAACTGGCAAGCCTTTTCTGTGTTTTGAAGAAATGTCGGAATTTATGGTAAAATTAACAAAGAACTGTAATGATCGGCCAAAATGAAGAAGTTTCTGGAATTAAAGGGATCCAAGTTCAAGTTAGAGCTCTTTGGCCTAGGGCACTTCAGCATTTAGGTCTACTTATTTATAAAGTGGACCCAGGAAGTTACTTTGGACTGAGGTAGACCGCTTGTGTATGAGGTCTAGTTCAATATTTGGTTTTTAAGAGACGTATAGTAAGTAATAGCTAGTGTTAGCTCTTGGAAAATCATCAAAATTGGAAAATAAGAGCATTTTTTAATATGAAAGAAGAGCCCAACAACATGTACAAAGATTATTTTACTTAAAAGAGTGAGAAAGAAATATGCAGTCTATTGCCAAGAAATGGAAGAGTCAATTCTAGGGAATGTTATATTAGGATTTACTTAACGGGTTTTGAAGCTTGAGTTTACTAAAGTATCTGTCCACTTACAGCAAAGTGTGATGTGTAATTAGTGGCTCGACATTTGAGTTGGGAAATTTTTAATGGTCTAAAAATGTAAAGCTGCTGGAACTGTGGGATGAGCACGCGAGAGCAGGGGTCAGGCGCGTGATGCTTCTTTGGGAAGGGGGATTTTCTGGTAAGCTGGTGGGAAGGTAGAGTTCACTTGAGCACTGGTTGTCACCTTTCAGGAAGTCAGTGTGTGTAGTGTAACCACACCTTCCTGTTAACGCATACAAATAGTTAACATCTTCATATATTGAGAAGAGCTACCAGAAAACTCCAACCGATGAGTGACCACAAAATTAAAGATACCATGTGCTGATATAACGTAGCATACAACACTGACATAGCCCATCAGTGTGTCATATCTTCTATCTAAAGAAGTCTCATTTTTCTTCTCACAAAGGGAGAGCAGTGGTGTAAATGTCCCAAACTAAACACTATCATTTTTACTTCTGAGTGTCTGCATAAATTTCTGTAGCATATTTGCTTTCTAAACTATATCTTGGTATCAATTGTGATGCTGCATTTGCTGGCTAGAGTGTCAGACTCCAGAAGCGTAGAAATGGGTAGAAGAGCGATGACTGGTTTAATTTTTGATTAAGCTTTTTGGGGTATATAGCTTGTATTTTTCCCCTTTTTATTCTGCTAAACCAGCTGAGGGCAAGGTTTTGCTTTTCGAAATCCTAGCACAAATATACAATCCAATTTTTGTTGCTTTTAGAATTTAATACTAAATTTATCTTTGTTCGTGAAGGACTCTAACCACAAGTTGCCATAGTTGTGATAGCAGTGACTTCATGCTGCTAACTAGAAACGGGTGTGGCGGGGGGGAGGGGCAGAGAGAGACTGTATGTGTGTGTTTCTTTAGACAGTCTAAACAAAGATGTAAAAACTGAATGATGTTTAGTAATCAGCCTTATTGAAAGTAATTACGTGAAAATAATGTTGCCATAGAAACTGATGCCAGCCTCCTACTCTAATGCGAATCCTTGGGAATGACCAACATTGTAGCAGTAGCTGTACTAGCCTTTTCCCATTCAAGTGATGCTGCAGGATGCCTCAGTTCAGCCCCTCACCTCAGTGCTCATGTCCAGGGCTTTATCATACACTTCTAATTTATTTTCACAACCTCAATTCCACAGAGTGGAGGCACAAACTACGTTTTGTTTACCTCCTTCGTTCTACTGCTTAGATGCCAGTCTTCTCCCTAGTTTATTGTTTTACGGTGCTTTTCCTTTTCTCCAGTCTGTCAGCCACTGTACTGCTTTGCTTTTCTCCCCACAGGTTTTGCTCTGCTAGAACAGTCTTCCCTTATCTGTTCCAAGACCCCCATAGTTGTTATCTAAAACTACAGCTGGCACCAAGCACTGTCTATAGAATACCTGTGTGCCTGTGGTAAAATTTAATTGAAAAATTAGGCAAGGTGGGAGATTATCAATTATAAATCATAATAATAAAATAGAAAAATTATAACCAGGTACTGCAATAAAAGTTAGGTGAGTATGTTCAACATCTCATTGTAGTGCATTCACCTTTTTGGGAATGATGGAAGATGCCACTGTGCTTTCATGATGAGCTGAGTGAGGTAGTGATGTAGGCATTGTGACATGGTATTTGGCTGCTCTGTAAAGGTAGCCACAACAGTCCCGACTGAGTGACTCCCAGGCAGGTAGCATATACAGCCCGGGTATCATGGACAAAAGGGATGATTTCTGTAACATGCTCCATGGGATGAGGAAGATTTCACCACACTACTCAGAGTGGCATGCAATTAGAAAATTACAGTTTGTTTATCTTCTGCAATTTTCCATGTAATGTTTTCAGATTACAGAACGTGAAACTGTGAAAGATGAAGCCGTGAGTGGGAGAGAGCTGCCTTTCTATTCCGCTCGTGTCTGTGCCTGCTGAGGGTTAGCACACACAGTCAGACCCTGGTGCTGATGGATGAAGAGTCAGGGGTTCTAGTGTCAAAAATGAATAATAGCCAGTGAGCTTTTCTATCTTTTCTGACCAACTCCTTTCCCTAAAGGAATTACAGAAATACTCAACATTTCTCCCTAGGCTGAAAAAGTGAAATTGCTTTTTCCTCCCAGGGAAAATAGTTTTTCAAATGCAGATTTCTTCAGTTTCCTGCCCTTAGATTTTACCTGTCCTCTCAATCTCATCCTCCTAATCTGAAATTTTAAAATATCCCCAAATCTGAGTGCCTCTGTGACAACACACGCAGAATGTTCCACTTATGGCTCCATGTTGTGGCTCACAAAAGAAGTTGTACAGAGCTACTTTCAGGCCATATTGAATAAGATGTTTATAAGATGAACCAAATGAAATTCCTGTTTTGATTTGAGTCTTCCCCAAGATACTTCATTATATAAATGCAGATTTTCCAAAATCCAAGAAATCGTAAGTTTTAGTCCCAAGCATTTAGGGTAAGGAATACTCACTCAACCTTTATTACCTGTTTCCCAGTCTTAAAAAGGAAACATTGTTCAAGAGTACTCTGTTCTTAGAATTTCGTTCCCTACCAAGACCCAAGACCTTCCATCCTTATCACCTCCTCATTTCTCCTTTCCTGGCAAATTCCCTGTTGCCCCAGTATAAACTTGGTCACTTCCAGCCCAAAACTAACAGATCTGAGCCTGACATCTACGAGCCACTACTTTGTCTCTCTTGGGTTCCTTTATATATATATACTTTTTTTTTGCATTTTTATGAACATTTATTCATTTATTTATTTGAAAGAACAGAGGGGGGAGAGAGACATTTTATGGCCACCACAGCAAGACTTGGTCCAGGTCAGAGCTAAGAACTCCATCTGTGTCTTCTACATGGGTGGTGGCAGGGGTCCAAGGACTTGAACCATCTTTGGCGTTTACCCAGGCACGCGACAGCAAGGCTGGATTAGACTTGAATGTTAGATGCAGGCATGGCAGGTGGCAGCTTACCCTGCTGCAACCACCTTCATTGCAGTCACTCAGACTGTGACCAATGATGCTTGCTTAAATTATCCAGGCTGGTGCCCTCTCTGCCACATCTCTTTTCAAACTTTATGAACCGCATCTTTTGAAACCTTCACTTCTTGGCTTTTTTTTTAAAAGATTTATTTTTATTATTTTTTAATTGGAATACAGAGAGGATATACAGAGAGGAGAGACAGAGAGGAAGATCTTCCGTCCGATGATTCACTCCCCAAGTGAGCGCGCAACGGCCGGTGCTATGCCGATCCGAAGCTAGGAGCCTCTTCCGGGTCTCCCACGCGGGTGCAGGGTCCCAAAGCTTTGGGCCGTCCTCAACTGCTTTCCCGGGCCACAGGCAGGGAGCTGGAAGGGAAGCAGGGCTGCCGGGATAGAACTGGCACCCAAATGGGATCCCGGGCGTGCAAGGCGAGGACCTTAACCACTGCGCCACCGCGCCGGGCCCCACTTCTTGGCTTTTAAGATGCCAGGCTGCCTTTGTTCTCTTTACATCTCTGATCATTTTTTCTTTCTCACTTTTGAAAATGTGAAGTTTTGGCTTTTCTTTGCTGTGTCAACAGATCTGATGTCATATGTGGATAATATGCCCTTGAGTATACGATTTGCGAACTTACACGGTCTCGCTGCTCTCTGTATGTAAATAGATCCTTTCTAATATTTAAAGTGGATTCTACCCTCTCAGTTCTAGACCTAGATTTTTAGCTGCCTCTTGTGCATCACAGAAGATTCTTTGTGTCAAACTCAAATTTCTTCTCTTTTCACCTAAAACCTGCTATTCACCTGTATTCTGAGCTTTTATTAATTATATCACTTTTCACCCGATTGTCCAAACTATCAACATCAGTGGATCATGTTTAGCCTTTTCTTCTTACTTTCCAAGCTTTATTCTGCTTAGCAGTACCTCTCTCTATCCCATCACCACTGCTTCAGTCAAAGCTTATTATATTTCATGTGGTGTCCTGCAAAAATATTATACTTGGCTCACTTGCTTAGTCCAGTTTGAATTTTATCTGGAATTTATTTATTTATTCACTCATTAACATTGACCAATTACTTCATGTGCCAAGCCTCATGCTGGGTTCTGTTCCCAGCTCTTAGGGAGCTTATTTTCTAAGGGGTGAGGCAAAAATTGCTAATACACTTACCCCTCGGGCATGCATGTGCAGGAAAGGAATGCTGTTCTCTGCTCCATCAGGGAATGACCCAATCTGGAAAGATGAGAAGGCTTCCCTGTACAGTGTGCTTGGCTTGAGATCTACAGGTTCTCCCGTGCACAGACCCTTTGGTAGGAAATGTAGGGGACAAGAAGTGATCTAACAGAGAAGGGTACAGGTCAAGAAGAAAGAGTCCAAGTAGAAAGAATTTGTAGGCCACATGAGCCTAGAAAGGTGGAAATCGAGTCAGGGGATTTAGGCAGAAAGGTGCCTGTGTGGTAAATGAGCCAAGATCCCTGTGGCTGCCATACAGAGAATGGATTCCAGGGGCCAAAGGACTCTGGGGGACACAACCCAAGGTCTTTCTACAAGGCAGAAATAAACTTTTCCTTCCTAAAACTCTCCAGTGGTGCTAAAATAAAGCCTAAACCACCTAGCTCAACGGTGTCCTTTCCAGCATTGTATAAGGTTTTCTACATTTTTCCACCACTCCCTGGTGTATGCTGAAGGCCTAACCTGATGTTTATACCTACTTGACCTTTGCATTCTTGGTTGTTTTTAAAAGATTTTATTTATTTACTTGAAAATCCGAGTTGGAGAGAATCTTCCATCCACTAGTCCATTCCCTACATGGCAACAAGGGCCAAAGCTAGGCCAAGCCACAGCCAGGATCCAGGAGCTACATCTGCTTCTCCCACGTGGATGGAAGAGGCCCAGACACTTGGATCTTCTGCTGTTTTCCCTGGGCCATTGGCAGAAAGCTGGGTTGGACATGAGACAACATTCAAATAGCATGCCACTGTCACACGCAGCAACTCTACCCGCTGTGCCACGGTGTAGATCTCGACCAACCTTTGCATTTCTTTAGATGAGCCTGCAGAACCTCTTTTTCAACAAGACATGACTCAGCTCCACTTTGCCCAAGAAGTCTTTCCAGAACAGACTTCATTCCTTGCGCCAGCAAAGAAACAGAAAGGCAGAAAGTCATCATTGATGCTGTGTTCTCATGGCATAAGCTCTCGGCACTGACTGTTCCACGTTACAGTGCATTTCCCTGTCCTTGGGACATAGCTGAGCTTCTTGTCATCAAGGGCTCTGGCGTTTGTTTTGTTTTCTCCTGTGTTATCTAGCACTGTGCCTGCCGGCCTACAGATGTTAAAGAGTAAAGACTTACTTCTCTGATGACTTTCACTAACCCAGTTCAGTAGCACACCTACAGACACCCTTGGTGCCGTGCATGTGAGAGCTTCATACAAACACCACAGATCATGGGATCCATTGTCTTATTAACCGGTCGTTTTATTAATTTTAGATTGTCTTGACAGGAACTTTGTGTTAAGTGTTTAGATAGGTCTAGAATAGACAGTCATTAAATGTCAAATCACTGTTTATGAAACTCCAGGGAGGTATCTTGTGAAATCTCAAAAGTTAGGGATGAATTACACCATCTCATCGAAGTACAGCAAATACTTTGTGAGAAAAAATAAAGAATGGCTGATAACTTATGCTAGCTGCCAAGTTTCTGTAATCAGGAGTTCTCACTGTGTCTGACAGGTGCCCCAGTGCTGGTGATTCTGAGATCTGGGGCAGCTGGTAACGTCTTTGCTTTAGGTCTCTGTGGGAGGCCACACTGACTTGATTTTTTTTTTTTTCTTTCTAGATAACAGCAAAGGCTTCTATTATTTTTGTTACTCTTCAATACAATGTGACCCTCCCTGCAACAGGTAGGTACTTTTTTATTAAGAATTTTCTATTTTAAGTAGTTCAAATGGAAATTTACACAAATCCCAGGTTCTGTATTAATCTTCAGCAGATCTCTTCCATGGTTGGGCTAAAGGTTATTTTTATTAATTTTGTAATGCAAGATCTGATGGTTTCCATTGACTTCATCCTATATTTTTATGAACATCAGTTTTACATATGGAGTATTTATTATATGATTTTGTCAATGAACTTGAAATTCTATCAAAGAACCTTTTATGTTGGGTTCTCTGCCCTCTGATCTTTGCTGAAGAAAAGTCTAGGAATAGAAATTTTAGATTTCTTTAAAGTGTTGTTGTTCTGTCAAGCCTTCTGTAAATGCAGTATATTCAACGTTCGGTTTCTCTGACTTGTAAGTTACAATTTGACCCTGTTATGATCCTTTGGAGTTCATTTTATTTTCACTTTCTGTTGCGGGAAAGAAAATTTGTTTAGAGGCAGTTATTTGGATTAGAAAGAATGTCAGGGAACTTGAGGAATTATCTGGTAACAGCATATTAACTGTGTTTTTAATCTATATTGAAAGTTTTTCTAAGTCATGCTCTGTGAAAATCAGGTTGTTTTTTGTAAGAATTGTACTTGAGTATGATAATAAGATTAACAAGAGTGGGTAACAGATAGGAGATAGTTGAGTATTGAACTACTAACATTCAGGTAGTGAATCTACCCACGTGTTTTCTACTTCAAATGTAATGTTCAATTGGGTTTTTGTTTAGCTGTATGTAATTGTATAAATATTGGTTATTGAGCTTGATATCAACCTGAAAAAAACACTACAACGCTGTCCTTTTTATTTATCTGAAATGCAGAGGGAGGAGAAGAAGAGACAGAGAAAAATCTCCCCATCCATTCATTGTTTCATTCCCCAGATGCCCATAACAACGAGTGCTGGCCCAGGCTGTGCCCAGGAACCAGGAAAACCAGGAACTCAATCTGAGTTTCCCACATGAGTGGCAGGGCCCCCACCACTTGAACCATCACCTGCTGCCCGTGAGGTGCATGTTGATGGGAAACTGGCCAGGAAGTAGCCCACACAGCCTCCTAACCTCTATGCCAAATGTGTACCCCGTTGGCCTGAAATTTGAATATGCCAGCAAACAGCATTCGTTTTACCTAAATGGTCCCTGTCAACATAGAGTTTGAGAACAGTATGTGACAGCAGTTTGCAAGATTTTGCTTAAGATTTGTTTTGAACAAAATGTATTAATTGCAAGGATTAAAAACAATTTTAAGTGATATGTGTCCCTATCTCAAGATCCTCTCCAAACTAAATCAGATACAAGTCAATCAATTTTTCCATCTGAGTCTTAATGTAGTATCTACTTTGAAAGTAGAGTTGGGAAATTTTGAATTTTTTGGTAAGGTGGGCAGATAGGCTAATTACAATTTTATCAATGTGATCTATAACCCTGGGATAATAACCAATTTATAAAATATTCCCCCCCCCCCCCCCCGTTTTTTGGTCATTGATGGCTGTGACTAACATGTGTCAAGTCTTTGTAAGTAGTTTCTGAAGTTTTGTATTTCTAGACAGTCTCTTCCTCCATTGCCATTGCCCCCTAAGATTCAAAATATCCAACAGCAAAGTATGTTTGTGTGTAACTTTTTTAGGTTAGTTTTCCTTTGTTTGTTTCCATAACTGTGTTGTACTCAGTGCTGTTTTTATAATCTTACGTATATTTTTGTGTATGTGTGTCCTTTTTGGCCTTCAGAAGAACAAGCTGCTGAATCAGCATCCCTTTATCACTATGGTATCAAAGATTTGGCTACAGTTTTCTTCTACATGCTAGTGGCGATAATTATTCATGCCATAATTCAAGAGTATGTGTTGGATGTAAGTATTCAATCTCAGAAATCTATATTTTGTAAAGTACCAGCTCACCCTGGTATGATAGTCTATATATGTATATATGCACATATATTTTATTCTTCATTACTTATGGCTGTTTTTACTTTTAGAAAATTAATAGGCGAATGCACTTCTCCAAAACGAAACACAGCAAGTTTAATGAATCTGGTCAACTTAGTGCATTCTACCTTTTTGCTTGTGTTTGGGGCACATTCATTCTAATCTCTGTAAGTATGTCCCTCTAATATTATTCTCTTTTGTCATATAAAAATTGGAACTCTACTGATAAACTATTATTAATAAAGAGATTTTGTCATAAATTTCTCTCTGGTTTTTATGCAGCAAAAAGCAAAAAAAAATTTAGACTAAATTACAGTTTCAGAAAGCTTTACTCGTCTTTTGATACTCTGTTTCTGTATCTAATAGTCACTTACAGATACTGCTATAACAGCAGAAAGGATGTTAGTGATGTGCTTTACTAGGTTACATGAGTTACAGTGCTTCTAGTCCTTTTCTACTTTAAGCCATCTAAAACTATGGCTTTTCTGTTAGGGTAATCAAGCCTTCATTATGTCACTTTAGCTAATGAGGACATCAACTTTAATATTGGCAGTAATAAACCCTCAGATTTATATGGCACCTGTATAGTTTACATACTTTGTTAGGCACATGATATATATTTTTTTTTAATCAGCATGCCAGAGATGAATAGCAAGCTAAGAAATCTCCCAAAGTACAATACTTAATTTTGGAGATAAATTAAAAATTCAACTTTTTTTCACTTTGCTACTTTAATTATACTTGACAAATATATCAGAATGTAAACTTAAGTTTAAATTTTTTTAAAAATTTATTAACAGTTTCACTTCTGTTGAAAAAGTTTCTTAAGATGTTTTCTGTTGTTAGCTATGCCGTAATTCTCACTGAAACAGACCTGTCTAAGGAAAAGAGCTGGGCAGTATTTTGTGGACTTGATTCATACGCCGAGGCTGCACTCTGAGCCTGCCTCCCCGTCAGCTGCTATGCTTTCCTTAGGTGTTTCCCTGCTGTCCCACACCAGAAGCCGTCTCCTGTAGCTGGCATTACCCTGCCGTGTGCCACTGCTGTGTGTTCCTTGTTTTGTGTTTGCTTGTATGTGTGTGTGTTTTTTATTCTACTGGATTGAAAGATTTTCTTGAACACCAGAAATGATTTCTTATTTTGCTTTCTGTCTCTCACATTGATTTTTCACTTCATTAAGTAAGCAATTCAAATTGAATTGAAAATAACTAATATGTTTGACATTAGTTGACTCTTTGGTACCTGCACCAAATAAATGCTAAGGAATGAAAATACTGTATTATTTTCTGAGAAATTTGCATATTGTCCCTGGGTTTAATTTTTATCTTTTTTTTTCTTAGGAAAACTACATCTCAGACCCAACCATCTTGTGGAGGGCTTATCCCCATAGCCTGATGACGTAAGTCATGTAATTTATGCAGGGTTTTTATGTCTGTAGTCTTTTCAACATCTTGGTTAGCGAGAGAGTGCTCCATCTTACATGGCTCTCCTTTCTCCTCTGAAGGACCCCATCTTCCTTCTGTTGCTCCTTTTCTTTGTCCTGTCCCCAGTGCAGTTTCATGCCTGCCTTACTTCCTGCTATAAGCTTTCAAGCCTAGGGACTATTTCTTCTGTCCCACCCAATTTCTTTCCTTTTTTTTATTTATTTTTTTTTAATTGGAAAGTCAGATATACCTAGAAGAGGAGAGACAGAGAGGAAGATCTGTCTTGTGATTCACTCCCCAAGCGGCCGCAATGGCTGGAGCTGCGCCAGTGCGAAGCTGGGAGCCCTGAGCCTCTTCCAGGTCTTCTACGCGGGTATAGAATCCCAGGGCTTTGGGCCGTCCTCTGCTGCTTTCCCAGGCCACAAGCAGGCAGCTGGATGGGGAAGTGGAGTTGCCGGGATCAGAACCGGTGCCTTTTTTTTTTTGAAAGGCAAATTAGATTTACAGAAAGAAGGAAAAACAGAGAAATTTAAGATGTTCCATCCACTGGTTCACTGCCCAAATGGCCACAGTGGCTGGAGCTGAACCAATCTGAAGCCAGGAGCTTCTTCTGGGTCTCCCAAGCAGGTGCAGGGTTCCAAAGCTTTGGGCTATCTTTACTGCTTTTCCCAGGCCACAAGCAGAGAGCTGGATTGGAAGTAGAGCAGCCAGGACATAAACTGAGACCCACATGGGATCCAGTGCTTATAAGGTGAGGATTTAGCCATTAAGTTATTGCATCAGGCCTGCCCACTGTATTTTTGTACAGTGCTGCAAGCAGTCCAGTGGTTACAAAATCATCCCAAGAATATCCTTATTGCTGAAGCCTGGCTCTGGTGCTATTGGTCCACATTAATTTTCCTTGGTATATTATTTCCGTTGTCCTTTTGTATCCCCAAATGCTTCATTTTGGCATATATTTTGTCTTGTTCTATAGTTGGATCATATTTTTATCCAACAATATTATAATATATGTTAGTGGCAGAAGCAACTATCTCTTTTTATTCTGTTACTTTGTTATTCCAGGTAAGTTGTAGGTGTCCATAATCATCTTCTGGGTTTCCTATGTGGTGGTTACGGGAGTCTGTGCCCTTGAGCAGCATCCTGCTGCTCTTTCCAGGCCGTTAGCAGGGAGCTGGGTCAGAAATGAACCAGTGCCCACATAGATATCTGGGTCTCAAGCAGTGGCTCTACCCACTATACCACAATGTCAGCCCCCATTCTCTGATTTTTAAAAAAAATTATACTAAGCAGTGAATTTTTGCAGACCATCTGTTTCCAACTTCTTAAGGAGCGGGAAAAGGAAGCTTAAAGGGGAAGTGGGAAGGCTAAAGAGATACCAAGATACTTTAAAAAGTTCATTAAAATAAAAAGTAAAAATAAGTATATTTCGATTTAGAAAAACAGATTTTTAAATACATACATAGGGTTGGTATACAGTAAGTTTATGGAAAATGTTTGTTTTGCAAAAATATGCATGGATTTTAAAAATGTTTTACAGCCAAATGGATATTTGAAAAATCTACTTTTTTTAGACTTTTGGAAATAGTCTATAAATGTCTACATGTGAAGTAGGAAACTTGATTCTAAACTGATTAGGATTTATCTCCTGAGGAACTCTTCTGTGCTTTTTTTTTTTTTCTTCTTCTTTTTAAGATTTAATTTTATAAGGCAGATTTACAGAGAGAGAAAGGGAGAGATCTAACATTCATTGGTTTGCTCCCCACATAGCCACAATGGTCAGAGCAAAGCCAATGCAAAGCCAGGAACCAGGAGTTTCCTCAGGTCTCCCTAGTGGGTCTAGGGGCTCAAGGACTTGAGCCATAATGCACTGCTTTCCCACCCGGTAGGCAGGAAGTGGAGCAGGTGGGACTTGAAGCAGCACCCATATGGGATGTCAGTGCTACAGGCAGGAGGCTTATTCTGCTAGTACACTGCTTCCCACGCCACACCTCCGCACCCCGCACATACTGCACCTCCCCCCACCCCAGCCCTTCTTGGCCCTGCCTCTATTTGTTTGGGATTCTCTTCATGTTCCATCCAGATGGAATTACTACATTCCCCTAAGAAAAATGCCAGAAAATGCTTGAAATTGGGATTATTCCCATTTCAAGTAATCGCTAATCTGTGTGCTTCCTTTCTATGTTAGCCTTTTTGCGCTTCCTGTCCTCATTTTGAGGAAGTCTCATAGTTCTTTGGGTGATGTTATTTCCTCTCTTTCCAGTAGTCAATGAGACATGCTGATCAGTAGTTAATGACTGCTGGGGTTCCAGCTCATCCACCTAGGATCTATGGGAACAGCCTTTGCCTGCTGTGAATTTAGGGGAGAAGGGATTGGACTGATGGTGGCAGTGTCCCCACGAGACATGAGCTCTTACAGGTGTGCAGTGAATTGTGGGGTGATGGTAACACAGAGGCTGCTACTTATTATATCCTGATACCCAGTATTTGTTTACTTTAAATGCATTTTTTTTTTTTACTTTCTTGTGTTGTGCAGATTTCAAATGAAGTTTTTCTACATATCACAGTTGGCTTACTGGTTTCATGCGTTTCCTGAACTTTACTTCCAGAAAACCAAAAAAGTAAGCTGGAAATTATTGAAAAGTGTTTCTGAAACTGACTGTGTCTTCACGTTGTTGTCTTCCCTCCTATTTTCTCACTTTGACCCTTTCATTGTTCCAGCACCACCCTTTCCTAAAAACTAAAACTTCCAAGTATTTTTTTGAAAAAAACCCTTCGCTTATTTTAATTTAGAGATAGATCGTCTGTGGTTGACATGCTAATAATTCATTTTAAAATTGTTAGGACATTCTAAATTAAAGTAAAATTTAAACGTGATTTTAGTTTCATCATACTGATATCCTTTGCAATATATTTCACTATCGAGACAAAAAAGATTAGTCAATTTACTCTACAGCTAGCAGTATGGTGGGCCTGATCCCAAAGAAAACTTCAGCATTGGGAAAAAGAAAACCATAGTTAAATATTCACCAAGTTAGCCTCTCCTGAGGGGGTGGGGCCTTCCTGTTTTAGCCTGTGGAAAAGGTGTTTGAACAAATGAGTAAACTACTGGAGCCCTGAACCAGCTGCCTTTCTGGGCACTTCTAAAGTCAGGCTCTGGGTTCCCGAAAGTCAGCTTTGTGTCCTTTAACAGTCTCTCCTCTGAAACCTGTCCTGGCTTTTGTTTGTTATAAACTACAAAAGCCACTTGCATAATGATCTGAGAGTTTGTCCCAGCTATTGCACCTCTTCCCTAGTCTCTCCTTTCTCTTGAACTTCATGTATATCCGTATTCTCTAATTTGATTTCTTATGTGAAGTTTCATTTATTATTTCAAAGAAAGAGTAATAGAAACCTAGATTTTCCTGTGACTGGTTCACTGCCTGAAATCCAGCAACAGCCAGAGCTTGGCCAGGCTGAGCCAGGAGGCAGGAGCCATGTGGGAGGGGGACTCAGCTAGTCAGAGCATCATCTGCTACCTCCCAGACTGGTTAGCAGGAAGCTGGACCAGAATGAGGGTGTGTGAGGCTCAGACAGGTGCTTTCCGGGTGAGATACAGGCATCCCAAGAGCACCTAAGTATCTACCCCTTCGCTAATTTTTTAATCCAACATACCAACTGTTTTTCCTGAAATAGCTTTTTCCTCTAATAAAATGATCAGGTATTGTGAAGAAATAAATCCTCGTATATGTAATGTTATATGGGATTTACTTCAAAACTTTTGGAAGAGAGGAAATGGGGAAGAGATACAGATGAAGCAAATGTAGTCATTTGTTAAAAACTAAGGCTAGGTTCTGAGACTGAGGACTCAGTGTGCTCTGTTGCAGTGTGTGTGTGTGTGTGTGTGTAAATCAAACACATTTTTGAGAAGCGTATTTTGAGAAGCCATGCTAATAAGTGCAACAGCCTATCGAGTGGCCAGTTTATCTCTGCTTTTCCCAAAGCTACAAATTGTTTTTCTGTGTCCTGTGGTCCCTTCACGGTTTTGCCATTGATTTGCTGCTGGCTTGTGTCTGCAGCCATTGATGTCCGCTAGGATTAAGAAACAGCACCACATCAGAAAATAGCACTGTGTGCCATGGCACACAGTCTTTTTTTTTTTTTTTTCTTTCTTAACAAAATACAGTGTCTGACCAAGTTGATTATAATGATTCAGATGAAGATCCTTCTAGGCCAAAGACAGTTTTCCAGTAATCCTTTCCTGGTTAGTAAGCTCCTGTTGTGAATCCTAGTTGTGTTAAAGCTGTACTGCCCAGAACTGTAGCTTCTAGACAACGTATGACTAATTATCATTAAATGAAAACAAGATGAACTACTGTGGGCACTCTGGGCATGCTTCAGGGGCCCCTGGACCACGTTTGTGGGGGATGAGAGTTTGGGCAGGAGAGCTGTAGGACACTTCAGTCATTGCAATATTACACAGTGCTACTTACTGTGTAACAGTTTCTTGATGTGGCTGAAATATTTTAAGCTTTCATTAGGTATTTGTGTACCAGTGGGCATAACACCTGTCAGTTTCATTGTTAGTCCATGTGTAAATCCCATTCACTGACTGCGGTAACTTCTAAGGGACATTTCAAAATAATTGTTCATTTCAGTTCCTGAAGCTCTTCTCTTACCAGTTTCTGCCAGATGGCATTTATCCAGAAATGCAATCTCATTTTTATGGAATAATTTACATAAGTTAAAACTTAACTGAAACTATTTTTAACACCTACATATGACAGTTGAAAGTAACTGTTTCAAGTAATTAGCATAATTTGGAAGTAGCAGCTGCGTATGTGTTAAACAGTTTCTTAAAATTTACTCTATGAAATTTATTTTGGGAAGAATTCTTAACTGGAAGAAATGAGTGCAGTGGCTGTTTTGAACCAGCTCTGCAGACAGAGGAGGCAGGGCATGCTCTTTGCAGTTCAAGAGGTATGTTAGTCACAGATGACTTAATTGTTTTTAAGTAAGAAAATTTAAAGTACGTGCGCCGTCTACTTTAATGAGGAGCAGCTCTCCACTTTGCCATGAGAAGATTTAAAATATCATTTCTCCACTGACTTGAATAAATGACCTTTTAGGGAAGCCATGAAATAGCCAAGTGTTTTATTTCTGATATTCTATTTTTGTTTCATTATGTTTACATACAGTTGCATATGATACAAAAGTTTTAAATTAGAAATAATGTTTGTTAACCCATTCCTGCTTCATAAAAGCTGTTGATACTGTTTATTTGCAGTTTGGGTATTAATATCTATCATGTATCACTTTGTGAAGTTATCTAGCAAAGTTTTTCCAGGGTGTATCATCTTATCTTACTGATTCCCTTAGTAGGTGTTTAAAAACATTTTATTTTCTTTAGATGATTTACTTACTTGAAAGGCAGAGTTAGGGAGACAGCACCAGAGATTTCCCGTTCTGTGATTGATTCCTTGCTACAGCCAGACAGGGCAAACTGAGCGCCTGGAACTCCCATGTTGTTCTCCCACTTGGGTGGCAGGGAGCCAAGTACTTAGACCATCTTCAGCTGCTTTGCCCAGGTGCATTAGCAGGAAACTGGATTAGAAGTAGAGCAGCTGGGACTCAAGCAGGTATCCATGTGGGATTTTGACATCGTAAGGAATAGCTTAACTTACTGTGTTACAACTCTGATCCCCAAAATTATTATTTTCTTATAAAAATAGAAATTTATCAAAGTAGTAGCATGTTGCTGGATTTCCACATTTTTTTGCCATAATAAATTTATTTTTTAGTTTCCTTTCCACACAAGTCATACCTGGTTGACACGTCTGTATCTGTAGTATGTGAGATTGCATTGGTAATACCATGCATTTTCTGAAATTATTACAACAGAAGAGAGTTGTTCGTGCCTGAACTTCAGCATGCTATCTCCATACCTTTTTTCTTGCTTTCATTCTGTAAGGAAAATATTTCATTAGAAGTTTGAAAGTGATGTGACTATGATCTTAAGATCACTTATTTTCAGGGCTAATTCTGGCTCATTTTGGAAGAACCCACATAAACCTGGTATCATGCCTTCAGAAAGTTCCTGAAGTCCCATGCCATGTATTACTGCTACTGAGGTTGTCTCATGTTCTACTTTTCAACACTTAATTTTTATGCTTGTCTTACCAGAGAAAATTCTCCATTTCAAAACTACACATGAAAATCTTTACTGTTTCTTAGACTGTCTGGTGGAAAAAACTCTGTCCTAATGAAGGGAACACATGGCCGACCACAAGGGTCCTGGGCTGCACTGTGCTAGACACAGGAGCTGAGTGTGATGGGATTCTAGAGGAACGCGGCGTGGTTGGTCACCAGCAGCAGAGCGTTTTCATCATCGTAACCAATAGTTATAGTACTAACAAGGCTAATGTGAATCGTACAGGGATGGGGGTGGTGATGGGGTGTGTGTGTAAGACTTCCAGAAGCATAGGGAATAGGAAGGAGGTTTAGACTTTTCATTAGTTAACAGCCATTTGGTCAGCTTGTGTTAGTAAAATTTTATTTTAAACTTTTTTCTGAAACCCAAAATGAAAAAAAAAAAAAGATATTTTGGTATGTAATTTCTGGAATAGGGGTCAGCCTGATGGCAGAGCAAGTCAAATTGCCACCTGCAATGTTGACCTCCCATTTTGGCACCAGTTCATGTCTCAGCTTTCCACTTTTGACCCAGCTCCCTGCTAATGTGCATGCAAAGGCAACAGAAGATATCTCAAGTGCCTGGACCACAGCAGACATGTGAGAGACCTGGGTGAAGCTCCTGGCTCAGCCCTGACCAGTGCAGCCACTTGGGGAGCGAACTGTAACACTTCCAAATAAAAGGCCAGTAAAATCTTCATGAGATAGTATGCTGTGTACTCTGGTATATTCTGTTTTATTTCATAGTTTAAAAGATGCTTTTTGGGCCCAGTGCAGTAGCCTAGTGGCTAAAGTTCTTGCCTTAAATGCACCAGAATCCCGAATGGGCGCTGCTTCGTATCCTGGCTGCTTCACTTCCCATCCAACTCCCTGCCTGTAGCCTGGGAAAGCAGTCCAGGACAGCCCAAAGCCTTGGGATCCTGCACCCACGTGGGAGACCCAGAAGATGCGCCTGGCTCCTAGCTTTGGATCAGCTCAGCTCTGGCCATTGTGGGCCACTTGGGGAGTGAACCAGCAGATAGAATATCTGTCTCTCCTTCTTTCTGTATATATGACTTTCCAATTAAGACCTTTTTAAAACAAGCTGCTGGTGTGACCCCTAACTTGATGTCATGGTGGGTCTTTTTTTTTTTTAAGATTTTATTTATTTATTGGAAAGTCAGATATACAGAGAGGAGGAGAGACAGATAGGAAAATCTTCCGTCCAATGATTCACTCCCCAAGTGAGCGCAAGGGCCAGTACTGCACCAATCCGAAGCCGGGAACCAGGAATCTCTTCCAGTTCTCCCACACGGGTGCAGGGTCCCAAAGCTTTGGGCTGTCCTCGACTGCTTTCCAAGGCCACAATCAGGGAGCTGGATGGGAAGTGGAGCTTCCGGGATTAGAACCGGTGCCCATATGGGATCCCGGCGGGTTCAAGGCGAGGACTTTAGCCGCTAGGCCACGCTGCCAGGCCCATGTCTTAGTATTTTTAAAAGCACTCTCTTTAGGGCCAGTGCTGTGATATAGCAAGTGAAGCTGCCACCTGCAGGGGCAGCATATCATATGGACATGTTTGATTGATGGCTGCTCCACTTCCAGTCCAGCTCCTAGTACACCTGAGAAAGCAGAGGACAGCCCAAGTGGTTAGGCCTCTGAACCCATATGGGCGACCCGGAAGAAGCTTCTGGCTTCAGACCTGCTCAGCCTCAGCCATCGTAACCACCTCGGGAGGGAAGCAGCAAGTAAGATTCTCTCTCTCTGAGACCCTCTTTGTTGCTCCCTTTTCTTCTGTAAATTTAGCCTTTCAAGGAAATAAAAAAATCATGGGGGCAGAGGGACGGTTTCTGTATAACTGGGTTAGCTAAGAGTTTTGAGAGAAAAACAAAAGTAAAATTTAGATACTTCAGATTCCAGAGGAATTCAGGAGAAAAGGATATACAAATAGGCGGTATGATAAGTAGGAAGATAAAGTTTTAATTCTTGACAGTGAAGGGACTAACACATAACTAAAAAATATTAGCACTATTTCATGTAAACAAAGGCAGCATACTTCTAATTAGCGGACAATATTAGAAGGGCTTTAAACTCACTAAATAACTATGCTTATTAAAATTTTATTAATGTTGAATAGAAAAAAGCCTTAGATTTTTTAAAAAAAAAAAAGATTTGTCTTTATTGGAAAGTCAAATTTACAGAGAGAAGGAGAGACACAGAGAAAGACCTTCCAAGCACTGGTTCACTCCCCAAGTGGCTGCAACAAGCTGGAGCTAAGCTGATCCAAAAGCAGGAGCCAAAAGTTTCTTCTGGGTCTCCCATGTGGGTGCAGGGTCCAAAGACCTAGGGCTGTCCTTGATTGATTCCCATGCTACAGGCAGGGAGCTGGATGGGAAGTGAAACAGCCAGGACACAAACTGGTACCCGTATGGGATCTTGGTGCATGTAAGGCGAGGATTAGCATCTAGGCTACTGCGCTGCGCCCAGATTTTTCTTTGAATATGCATTTATTTATTAGAAAGGCAGAATTAAAGACATACACACAGAGAGAGGTTTTCCATTCACTGGTTCACTCCCCAAATGGCCATAATGGCTAGAGCTAGGTCAGTTGAAAGTCAGAAACTTCTTCCAGGTGTCCCCCATGGATCATAAGGAGCCTGACCACTTGGGGCATCTTCTGCAGCTGTCCCAGACACATTAGCAGGGAGCTGGATCACAAGTGGGTGAGCCAGGACTTGAAGCAGTGCCCATGTGGAATGCTGGCACTGCAGGCTTCAGCCTTTACCTGTTAAGCCACGACACCTGCTCCATTACCATAGAGCTTAACCCTAAAAGGGATTTTTGTTTGTCTAATTGAAGCAAACCCAGCTCCTCACTTTGAACAGCTGAAGGAGCTGAGACCTGCAAAGGTTCAGTGCGTTCTGAAGCATATGGCTGGTAAGGGCATTGGGTGGGACGGTCGGGCAGAGTCAGGCAGGTTCACTCTCTCCTAGAACTGTTTCAGTGTGCTTTGATCTATAATGTACATTTCTCGTTGCAGGAAGATGTTCCCCGTCAGCTTGTCTACATTGGCCTTTACCTCTTTCACATTGCTGGAGCTTATCTTTTGAAGTAAGTTGAACTCTCTGGGGTGTGTTAAGTGGGTTGATCAGGTAGTATGCTAATCTGTCCTCATTGATAATTCATCTTTCCGCTCTAAGTGTATGTGTGTATGTGTTTTTTTTAACAGCTTGAATCATCTGGGACTTGTTCTTCTGGTGCTGCATTATTTTGTTGAATTTCTTTTCCATATTTCCCGCCTGTTTTATTTTAGTGATGAAAAGTATCAGAAAGGGTAAGTTAAGCATTCCAGTCCTTATCTAGCAGGTAATTAATGTCAGTATCTGAATTGCTAAAGTTCTTGCTCTTTGCAGTTAGATTAAGTTTTAAGCTATTTGTAGCATTTTTAATAAAAATAAAACTATTTAAAAATTTAGAGTTGGTATTTTACACCCAAAAATAGTCTGTCTCTGGTGAAAAGATGCTGTGTTGGAGTTAGTAGTTTTCAGGGGTCTGGGGATTTTCTAACTCCTGCCTTACTTGTGTGTTTCCCTGCTGGAGAAGAAATGATAGAGAAGATACTTTCAGAAGAAACTGGAATCCCTCATTGTTCTTGAACATCCTTTTCTTTATAGCACAGCTTTTATTTTGAACAGAATTTTCCAAATATTGCCCGGAATTCCAGTAGTTCTAACGGTACTTCCACATCATGCAAAAAGAGATGAAGTTAAAAAACAAATAAGCATATTTCTCTGCTGAGTATCTTAGAACTTTAAATAGGCTAGCAGGTTTTTCACGTCTTCAGTGTGCGATGTCTTCCAGTGTGCAGTGTATGTAGTGGTTCCCAAACATTTGACTGTAGAATCTTTTGCAGAATGGTAAGAAGAAAAGTTATGTTTTGACATTCATTAACTGTAATCTGTTATACACTTCAAGCACTGGAAGAAAGGGACTTGACTGTTCTAAACAAAGATTAATGAAATGGAAATCCTGACTACTGTGAATTTATCCATAGGTGCACACTGTTTTCCAAACATATATACATTTGTTGCTTAGTATGAAACTTCTGGGACCTTTAGAAAATGCATTTGCTTAGTAGTAGTCTAATTTCTGGTAGAATAGTTTTTGCTTCATAGTTTTGCGAAATGAATTTTTGACATTTTTCCTTACAGATTTTCTCTGTGGGCAGTTCTTTTTGTTTTGGGAAGACTTCTGACGTTGATTCTCTCCGTGCTCACTGTCGGTTTTGGCCTTGCAAGAGCAGAGAACCAGAAGCTGGATTTCAGCACGGGGAACTTCAACGTGCTGGCTGTCAGGTACAGCTGCCAGGGCCTTTTCCTCACTTGACGCTGCTGTGCAGTGTATATTACCAATTTCTCTAGGATGTGACTCATCTAACAGGGATAAATACACTCATTTCATTTTATTTTCACACCTGTTACAGTTTTATAAAACATTTTATTTTCACTTCTGGAATAAGTTATTAATGTAATGAGTATAATCTTGTTAAGAGTCGGCAGTAACTGTCATATTAGGATGCAGACTACTTTGTGGCCTTTTCTGTGTACACTCTGATATTTCATTTGTTTAATACTTGTCAGGATTGCTGTTCTGGCATCCATTTGCATCACCCAGGCATTCATGATGTGGAAGTTCATCAATTTCCAGCTTCGGCGGTGGAGAGAGCATTCTACTTTTCAGGCACCAGTTGTGAAGAAGAAACCAGCAGTGACTAAGGGCAGGGCTTCTAGAAAAGGAACAGGTTTGTATTCAGTGATCAGTGTTTTATAATCACTGGGATGAAAAACGTCAAGGAAAACAATGCATGGAGGCAGATGTGAAGGCACAGCACTTATCCACTGTTCAGGACACAGATGATCCCACAGCAGAGTTCCTGTAATCTGCTATGGTTACTATCTTCTCTCCCACTCTCTCTCTGTTACTACCATCTTCTTTTTCTCCCTCTCTCTCTCTCTCTCTGTGCCTTTCAAATATTAAAAAAAAAAAAAAAAACATGCTGAAATTTGGGGAAGGGGGGATTGTTGTAGGGTATTTATTATTCATTTTCTAAATATTATAAAAAGTTATTCTACTTTTTAGCAAAATGATAGGTATAATATCCTCATGATTCCATGGTAAAATGGTTCATGGGGGAGTTGAGTCAGTAACTGCCTTCAGCTGGACGGGAATAATTTTGTCTTTCAGTTTAAAAAGCAGAACATTGAAGAGAGGGGCGTGGACAGATCTTCCGTCACTGGCTCACTTCCCAGTTGATCATAACAGCTAGGGCTCAGCCAGCTCAAAGTCAGAAACTTTAACCAAGTTTCCCCAAGGCTGATGAGGTCCCAAGCACGTGGGTCATCATCTGCTGACTTGCGAGGCGTGTTAACAGTAATCAGTCTGGTCTTGAGCCAGCATCACTGCACTGGGAATACTGGTGTTGCAAGCTGTGACTTAATGCACTGCACCACAACCCCACCCCCTAGAGTCTTCTTTATGGGAAGGCTTTTAGCTACACATTCATTCACAGGTAATAGAATTATTCAGATTCTCTACTTCGTTGTCTATTTTTTTGGTAAATTGCTTCTCAGGTTATTTGTTTTATACAAATTTGCAAGTGTATTTGCATCGATTTATTTATAATGCCTTTTTGTTACCCATGCTTGCAGGTCGGTATTTTATTTGGGTCAGGGAATATACCCTCAGTATTCCTTTAGCAAGTTCTGAATTATCATTCAGTTCAAAATGTTTTGTAATTCCAGTTGTGATTTCTCAGTGGACTCAAAGATTATTTGGAACTGCATTGTTTAATTTGCAAAGCTTGGTCGTGTACTGGTTTTCTTTGTTACTGCCTGTGATTAAATGAACATCCTCTGAATGATATCAGTTGCATAAAATTTGTTAAGACTTTCATCGCAGTTCCATCTAGATCCAGTTTTGGTAAATGTTTCTGTTGAACTTGATATGAATTCCACTTTTGCAAGTTTTGCTTTGCATTGTTTGAAGATGCTCTTAGCTCCATCAAATTTTCAGACTGTAATGATTTCCCATTTAATATTTCCTTTCTTCATTATCAGTTGTCCGTTTTGTCTGAATTTACAACTGCCATGCCAGCTTTGTTTTGATAAAATATTATTATAACATATTGAAAAGCAAAGTAACTGAGCGAGAGAAAGAGATACATTCCATCAACTGGTCCATATCTCACATACTCACAACAGCTGGGGCTGGGCCAGGCTGAAGTCCGGAGCCAGGGACTCCATCCAGGACTTCCAACTTGGGCAGGGACGCAAGTACTTGACCCAAACAGATTTGCTGCCTACCAGTTTACACACTGGCAGGAAGCTGGATTGGAAGTAGAGGCAAACTTGATTGTGGGTATCCTAAGAGGTAGCTTGACACACTGCATGACATCTGCCCTATTAAGCCACTGCTGGTTAACCACAGCATCTCATACTTGTTTGCCATTCAGCTGCCTGCTAATGCTCTTGAAAAGGCAGAGCCCACAGTGGGGAGGCCATGTGGGTGGAGATCCTGGCCATTACAGCTCTTTGGGGGAGGGAGCCAACAGATGGATGAAAATGTGTGTTTTCTGTTTGCTTCCATCTCCCATTCAAGTAAATTAACTAAATCTTTTAAGATTTTTAAATTTTGATTTGATGCCTTCAGTTCCTTGTGGTTAATGTGCTTTCAGATTTTATGATTAGTTAGATATTAGTAAAGATTAAGCATCAGGAAATGTATTTCATGCTAGTATATATGGAATTTTTAAAAAAGAGATTTATTTTTATTGAAAGGGCAGATTTACAGAGAGAAGGAGAGACAGAGAGAAAGATCTTCCATCTGCTGGTTAACTAGCCAAGTGGCCCACATGGCCAGAGCTAAGCCAATCTGAAGCCAGGAACCAGGAGCATCTTCTGGGTCTCCCACATGGATGCAGGATCCAAGGCTTCGGGCTATCCTGGATTGCTTTCCCAGGCCACAAGCAGGGAGCTGGAAGGGAAGTGAAGCAGCTGGGACACGTATGGGCACCCGTATGGGATTCTGGTGCATGCAAGGCAAAGACTTTAACCATTATTGCTCTAGGCCAGAGTATATATGGAATTTGAGATTTTTTTTTTCCCGAAGATAACTTTGTATTCAAAGATGTTTGTTTGCATTCATTCATAAAGGACGATAACACTGATCCTTTTATTTTTTTCAGAAAATGGTGTAAATGGAACAGTGACTTCAAATGGAGCCGACTCTCCCCGTAATAGAAAAGAGAAATCTTCATAATGAATGATAAACTAATTGATTAAATGTCCCCAAAGAAATCTGCTTTTTACTATATCTTTCAGCACTAGATATTTTTCTGTTCTTTGGAAATACAGTTTGTGCTCTTTGATTCTTGCTGTTGTACTGTTTCATGCATTTTTTAAAGGGTGTTTGAGGGGAGGGGGATTATTGTGAGTGAAAATATAGTTTAGCTCAGACTAAGCTACTTGCCTTCAAAATAGATTAGGGACCACCACCATATTTTATTTTGTTTTATATCTTTGAACATTTTTATAATGATTTCGAGAAAAAACTATCCCACATATCAGTGATACAATTTCTTGCTCTCACCAGTTTTTATATTATCAAGGTGACCTATTCTAACAAGGTCATATTTTTTAGGTTATCTTTCAGGGTAAAATGGAAATACCATAAAGTTGGATGTCAAACTTTAATATGTTTTCAGTGTCCTCTAATTTTTAGGAATTTTTGTAGCCTTTACACCTGGAAAAAAAAAGGATTTATAAAGATCACCAGAACAATTGTGTGCTTTATTTTATAGTTAGTGGTTGTTGGTGTTACATCCCAGTTGCCAAAACAAAACAAAAAAATACTAATGATTACAACATGTGGAGATTATTGCCCTATATATTGAATCAAAACAATATAACAGTACTTGTGAAATGAAATAATTCTTGTGCATTTTCAACACTTGTAAGCTGGAACTCAAACTATTTACTATGAAGAGTAAATACTTATAAAGCCCTTTTTGATAATGTTTGTTAACGATTCTTAATGGGGCTTATCGTAAGTTTGATATGCATAGCATCTTAGAAAAATATTGTTTAACATACAAACCCTTTTAAGAAATAATACATACTTGATTTATATCTATAAAAAATGTCAGGTAAATATATTTGGAAAACATTTAATGCACTAACTTTAAAGAATTTGAAAATTCAGGTGGATAGTCTTACAAAAGACAATGCTCTATGTTATAGCTAGCTTTGATCTCATCTATGTGTATAAAACATATTTTTGGATAAATATATATATATATTTGTAACTACAGAAAGGCTCTAAGCAGCATATGAGTCAAACACTTGGTTCCCTTTTCTATAATGAGTCTTTGAAGCCCTTAGAGCTCTCCTTGGTCAGTTGGTTGTCGTTCTAGTACATACAGTGCCCCTTTCGGTGTGGCTGTCGCGTTGCCCATTTCTCAATTCTCTCACCAGCTAACGTTTGTGCCATGTTTAGTGTAAAAGTTACGGACCTCTCACGTCTCGGTTTAAGTTGCCATGCTGCTAGAAAGTTGTGCTTTCTCTTTCCAGCTGTTTACCTACTTCCTGGAAAAACTAGTAGCTCTCTGTAGCATTATGGAGTTTCAGTGGAACCAAATTTTTTGCCTTTAAAAACTGGCATTATATTGAACTATACATTGAGAAATCAATCAAAATAAAAATTTTTACTTTGACAAGCTGCATCCTGGACATTTCCTTTGTTAGCATTGGTGCTTTGTGGAACATCTTTTCCAAATGGTGTGCTCTGCAAAATAATAATGATAAATAAAAACAAAGTAAATCATTTCCACAAAATACTTAACAGAGGCTACTACAGGAAAAGTGATTGTAACCAGCAAATCCAGGGACTGTTGGGTTAAACAAGTTTTATAAGTTTTTCTTTCCTACAGGACTGTTCAAATGATTGATATACAAATGTGTTTTCTAGTATACCAAGGATTTTAGAACCAAGATACCTGTAACACTTGTATTATATAACACTAGGAGTTTAACAAAAGGGGAAAGAAAGCATGAGTATGAAGTTATTACTTTATAAGACACATAGAAACGGTCTAATTATAAACTCAGTGCTCATCGCCTGCTTGCAGTCGCCCTGCGTGACGTCGCTGCCCCAGCTCCCAGGTGGCACAGAAGCCGCCGCTGTCACTTGGGCTCGTTCCAGTCAGACGTCAAAGCCTGATGGGAATTGTGTAGGACTGTGGACCACAGCAGCTGCTATCGGCGTGATCTTGAACTAGTTGTCTTCCCATTTTGGGGTCTGAGATTCCTTCTGCAACATATTTACTTGCTCTGTTGTGGTCTATGTAAATGCTTAAAAGAGATTTTAACTACCTTGTAAGATTAATCTTTTTTTTTTTAAAGGACTTAACTTGAAAGGCAAAGTTACAGGAGGGACAGATCTACCATCTGCTGATTCACTCCCCAGATGGCCACTCCCCAATATCTAGAGCTGAGTCAATCCAAAGCCAGAAACTACTTCTGGGTCTCCCATGTGGGTACAATGGATAAAGGACTTGAGCCATCCTCTGCTGCATTCCCAGGCCCAAAGCAGGAAGCTGGACTGAAAGTGCAACAGCTAGAAAATGGACTGCTGCGGATTAGCTCAGCCTAATCTGCCTCCAGATTCAGCCCACACTTACCCAGTGTGTGCTGTTGCCTTGACTTTCCTGTCCTGTCCCCAGCCCTGGCTCTCATGCACACCAAGGGAGCAGCAACTCAGTAGGGAAATGCCCACAGTTCCCCTACCAGGACTGCTCCTGTTCCTGGATCTTGTGCCTGCCAGGGGGTACTGTGGTGCAGTCTGACATCACTTGCACCCAGTCCTGCACTTGCCAGCTGTGCTGTGGCCTAGCCCAGCCAGGCCCACACCCAGACTGGCCCACCCCTGTTTCAGCTTTCACACTCACCAATGGAGACTGCAACCCAGCAAGGAAGTCCCCAAGGTTTCTTTACTGGAACTGCTCCCAGCCCCATGTTTTGAGTGTGCCGGGTGTACTGTGGCCCACCCTGAGATGACCTGTCCCCAGTCTCGGCACTCATGAGTAGGTACTACAGCCTGGCTCAGCCTGGACCCCACCACAGTTCCAGCTCTCACCAGTGGGTGCAGCAGTCCCAGCCCTCATGTGAATTGACAGGTGTTGTGGTCTAATCCAACCTGGCCTGTACCCTGTCCTGCCTCCAGCTCATGCCATTGTATGCTGTACACTGGCCAAGCCCAGCCTGCTCCCAGGCCTGAGTCACACATAACGCCAACAGGTTCTACAGACTAGCCTAGCCTAGCCTACTCACAGCCTTTGCTCTCATTCTCACCAACAGAATCTGCAGTATAACGGGCTGAGTTCCCTTAAATTTCCCTACCAGGCCTGTTCCCAGACTCACATCTCCTAGATATCAGCAGATGTCATCTGTCTTCAGTCCTGACCTTTGCAAGTGCCAGAGAGTAGTGTAGCCTGACCCAGCCTGGCCCACTCCCAGTCCTGGTTCCCATGTCAGGTGAATTCTGCAGTCCAGCTGGCTCAGCCAATCACTACTCCCAGCTCTCCATGCAAACCAGTGGGTCCTGCAGCACCACAGAGGCAAGCCCACAACTGTCCTGTAGGATCTGCCCAGATCCAGTTCTCTTGCATTCTGGTGGGTGGTATGGCCCAGCCTTACATGGTCATCCCTGTTCGAACGCTCATGGGAGGGTCTTACAGCTTAGCCCAGCCAGGCATGGCCTCTCAGCTCCAGCTTTTGCATGTGCCAACAGGTGGCAAGCAACGCTCTTTAGCCCAGTCCGGGTCTCCCACGTGGCCATATGACTTCACTTGACTCAGACATGCTTTCCATCTTCCCCCCTCTAAACCACTCCCATCTCAGTTCCCTTGCTTACCTATGAGTACAAATGTCCAGTCTGTGGAAGACCCCAGAAGTCATTCCTCCCCTGTCAAACATGCCCTTAACCACTTCCAATCCAATATGTTCCCGAGTGATCTACAGCCCCCTCCCACACCTGAGAACTGCTGTGGCAGGTCCTGGCCTGGCATTTCCTGTCTTCCGCACATAACTTTAATGTGTGTGTGCATATATACATATAAAATATGCATGTATTATATACATATATATTACACACACTGGTATAGCTAACACAAATTTCGCCTTAATCAGGCCCATGATGCCTGCCATTTGTTGGCTGCTTCTCTCCCAGCAGTGTTAATACTTGACTATGTACAAGGCAACTTAGGCGGTTGCCTACAGCTGGGGCCTAATTAAGTTCAATTGTTGTTAATAGTTATACAATGATAGGACCAGCTGACTAGAATTCAAATCAGCTTTGTGAGATTGAATAACCTGTGTCACACTTTTCCTATGGTAAATACAGTTTTCAACTGATGCAAGTGTGCCAGTAAAACCATTCTAGCTTTCACTAGCAGTACTGAATTCAATAAATCACATGAGACATTCAACACTTAACTATAAAAATAGATTTTGTGTTGTATTATTCAAGACTTGTTTGTTTGTTTGTTTATTTAAAGATACAGATACAGGAGGGGGAGAGACAGAAATCTGCTTATTCACTCCCCAGATGGCTGCAATGGCCAAATCAGAGTCAGTCAGAAGCCAGGAACCAAGAGCTTCCTCTAAATCTCCTATGTGGGCACCAAGACCATAAGAGTTGGGCCACCCTCTGCTGCTTTTCACATCTGTGTTAGCAGGGAGCTGGATCAGAAATGGAGAGCCAGGACACAAACTGGCACCAATGTGGGAAGCACCGGTGTTAGCTTATTTTACCCAGCTAATGTTAATTGCTTTGAGAACATTTCAGGCAGAATAAGCTAAGCTAGAATATAGGTTAACATGTATTGCACACATTTTCAACGTAACAATTCAATTAACAGATGGGTTCTCAGCAAGTGATGCCAGACCAAGTTAAGGAACATCTGTAACAGCACCTGCCCCATGAGTTACTTCTGAGATTTGAGTTAGTCCATAAAAGTAGAGTATGGGCCCGGCGCAGTGGCCTAGCAGCTAAAATCCTCACCTTGCATCTGCCGGGATTCCATATGGGCACCAGTTCTAATCTTGGCAATCCCACTTCCCATCCAGCTCTCTGTCTGTAGCCTGGGAAAGCAGTCGAGGACGGCCCAAAGCGTTGGGACCCTGCACCCATGTGGGAGAACTGGAAGAAGTTCCTGGCTCCTGGCTTCAGATTGGCATAGCATCGGCCGTTGCGCATCTTCCTCTCTGTCTCTCCTCCTCTCTGTATATCTGACTTTCTAATAAAAATAAAATAAATTTATTAAATAATAAATAACAAATAATAAATTTATTTATTATTAAATAATAAACAATTTTAATATTAATTTTAATTGTTTGTTATTAATGTTATTAATATTGTTGTTTATTATTAATTATTAATATTAATTAAATAATAAATAATAAACAATAAATTTGTTTTATTTTTATTAGAAAGTCAGATATACAGAGAGGAGGAGAGACAGAGAGGAAGATCTTCCGTCCAATGATTCACTCCCCAAGTGACCACAATGCCGATGCTATGCCGATCTGAAGCCAGGATCCAGGAACCTCTTCCGGGTATCCCACACGGGTGCAGGGTCCCAAAGCTTTGGGCCGTCCTCGACTGCTTTCCCAGGCCACAAGCAGGGAGCTGGATGGGAAGGAGGCCACGGGGATTAGAACCAGCGCCCATATGGGATCCCGGGTGCGTTCAAGGCGAGGACTTTAGCCACTAGGCCACACAACCGGGCCCTGAAATAAATCTTTAAAATAAATAAATAAAAGTGGAGTATAGCTCTATGTCTGATGTTAGCTCATACCTGTGTAACAAGGAGAAGTAATATACCACTTTGCTTTGTACTGAGGTTTTTCAGCATTGTTGAGCATTAGTGCCTATGCAAGGTAAGTGCAGTGGTCCATGGTTGCTGTCCTCAGGCAGTTGGGCCCAATACTGGCGTCTAGGATGTTCAAGCTAACAAGACATTTGGCAAAGCTGTCTTTCTCAAAAGACTTCATAGGCTTATTTAACCAGCACAGACATTCACACATTTAACATCCATATCTTCATGAAATCATTTGCACCTGGGAGTACCTGACACAATGATCAAAGCAAGCATACAATTTCCAAGAATGATTTTCTAAATACCAGTTCTTTGCTTGTTGAAGCCGTATTTGCATTTAGATTGTACATATATGTAAATATATACATAAAACTTCCAGAGAGAAATGCTGCCTGCTTGACGTTGTTTTACCTTCAAATGGAAAAAATCAAAATCCACCAGGAAAATGAGGACGTTACAGGATAATGTTTCTCAAGAAGTTTGAACTCATCTCACAAAGTGTCCCAGGAGTTACATTCCCTAGAAGTGGGCTCAAAGGACTGGAAGCAACAGTATGAATGAGATCCAGGAGGAAATCTTCAGTATGTACCTGGGGAGGCAGTGGCTCAAGTGATGGGCTTCCTGCAACCCATGCAGGAGACCTGGATTGGCACTCCTGACTCCCAGTTTGGGCCATCGCCAGAGCCACAGCAAGCATTTAGAAGTAAAAGTGGAAGGGCACGCTTTCTAATTTATCTGTTCTCTCTCGGATAAATAAATTTTCCAAGCTCATAAAAAACTATGTGTGGGTTTTGAAATTTTTTGCACCAAATAGACACCTTTTATTTCCATGTTGG